GTCCTCGGAGGGTCCCCGCCGGTCCCCCAGAGCCTTCCCCAGCCGGTTGGTCACCGGGGCCTTCCCGACCCCCATCCTGACGGTCTGGAGGGTGTGAGGAACCGGAGGGATCCCAACCCCCTGCCCCGAGATGCCGGTAATGGGCTCCCGGTAAAGGGGATCCCGGGGAGATTCCGACTCTGTGCCCTTCCCAACCGGCGATGGGCCGGGGGTCCCGGCGAGGGTCCGTTTCCCCCCCCCCCACTCCCCTTACCGCGTCGCCGGGAGGGGCTCGGTCCCGCAGCTCCCGCAGCTCCCGCTCCCACCAGCCGCTCCAGCCGGTGCCGGTGCCGGTGCCGCGGAAGTACATCTTCACGGCGATGAAGAGGATGGAGCCGAGAACGGCCACGGCGGCCCCCAGGGCCAGCGTCAGCTCCCGCAGGGCACCGGCCGGAGCCATGCCGCACCGGTACCGGCACCGGCAGCGCTCCCCCCCCCGCCAGCTGTGCCCGCCGGCCGCGCGCCAGGGCCAGCTGTGCCCGCCCCTGACGTCACAGCCGCCCTTAAAGGGGCCGCCTGACCCGGGGCGGGGGGGGGGAAGGAGGGCATGGATGGGATGGAGGGATGGAAAGAGGGATGGATGGATGGGAGGGAGGAATGGAGGGATGGGAGGGATGGATGGAGGGATGGGAGGGATGGATGGAGGATGGATGGATTGTGAGGCCACAACTGGAATACTGTGTCCAGTTCTGGGCTCCCCAGTTCAAGAGGGACAGGGAACTACTGGAAAAAGTCCAGCGTAGGGCTACAAAGATGATTCAAGGACTGGAGCATCTCCCTTATGAGGAGAGGCTGAAAGAGCTGGGACTCTTTAGTCTGGAAAAGAGAAGGCTGAGGGGAGACCTTATTAATGCCTACAAGTATCTCAAGGGCGGGCTGAGGGAGGAGGGAACCAGACTCTTTTCAGTAGCTGTCAGTGAGAGGACAAGGGGCAATGGGCACAAGTTGGAACATAAAGGTTCCACTTGAATATGAGGAAGAACTTTTTCACAGTGAGGGTGATGGAGCCCTGGAACAGGCTGCCCAGGGAGGGTGTGGAGTCCCCTTCTTTGGAGATTTTCAAGCCCCGCCTGGATGCTCCTGAGTAACATGCTCTGACAAGCTCTGGGTGGTCCTGCTTTGGCAGGGGAATGGGACTAGATGATCTCTATGGTCCCTTCCAACTCTAAAAATTCAGTGAAATTCAGAGGGGTGGGAGTGACGTCTGCATGGATGTATGGATGGAGGGGCGTAGGGGTGGGATGGATGGACGGATGGATGGGAGTAATGTCTGCATGGATGAATGGATGGAGGGAGGAATGGAGGGATGGATGGAGGGATGGATGGGAGTGACGTCTGCATGGATGAATGGATGGAGGGATGTATGGATGGAGGGGTGGATGGATGGAGGGGTGGATGGATGGAGGGGTGTAGGGGTGGGAGGGAGGAGAGAGGCAGCAGGGCCTGCCCAGCCGGTGCACTGACGCCTGAGCCGCCCCACGCCAGCCCGGCCCCCACGGGACTCGTTTACCCCGGGTGGCGCAACGCATTCCTGCCCCGAGCCAGGCTCCACCGGGAGCGCCTGCGGGACCTCCCCTGGAGCCGCCGTGCGCGGCCCCCGGTCCCGATGCCGGGGCGGTGGACGGGCTGGGCACCCTTGGGGGGGGACACACGTGTTTTGCCGGCGGAGCCGGTGCATGGTGGGGCAGGAGGAAGGCGGCGGGTGTGCCGGGGCGGGCAGGGACCGACAGCCCCGCCGTGCCCGGGCCGGGCCGTGTCCCAAACCCCGCCGGGCCCGGAGCCGCAGTGCGCCCTCCACCGGCGGCAGCGAATCGCGCGGCCACGCCTCTATACCGAAGCCACACCCACCGAGAGCAGAACTACAACTCCCAGCGTGCCCCGCGCGTCGCCGCCAGCTCTCGCGAGATCTGCGCGCCGATAAGAGCTCTCCCGGGGGCGTGTGAGTCCCCTCCGGTACCGGCGGCGGAGGTGTCGGCGTGTCCGCCGCAGGCTCCGCCATGGCGCCGCTCGGCCCGCCGCCCCCCGCCGAACCCCATTAGCCTCAGCCAGCTTCAGCCGCGCCGCCATGAGTTCGCGGCAGCCGGACGCTCCCGGTAAGGCGCCCCCCTCACCCCCTCCTCCGCCCCCGCGCTCCCCGCCGGCCCGGGTAGGCCGCGGCGGCGGCGCTGAGCGCTGCCCTCTCTGTCCGCAGCGCTGGAGCAGGGCGGCGGGGCCCGCCCGGGCAAGGTGTCGCTGCCCCTCGGCGTGCCGCGCCGGGCCTTCAGCTACGACGACGCCCTGGAGGACACGGCGCCCATGACGCCGCCGCCCGCCGACCTGTGCGCCAACGTCCTCTGGAAGCAGCCGGTCATCCCCGAGCGCAAGTACCAGGAGCTCTCGAAGGTACGGGCCCCGCCGTGGCACCGGCACAGGCCTCCCTCCTGCCTGCCGCCGGCACTGCACCGGGCCGGTCCCCACCCCCGGCCCTGCCGTAGCTGGGGCCTGCCGGGCCTTGGGAGCCCCCGGGAGGCGCTGGGGACAAGAGAGTGGTTTTGCTGCCTGTCCCTGTTGAGGGGACACCGGAGTGTGGCTGAGATAGGAGTGTTCTGGGAGCCTCCTTGGTTACCAGAGGTGTTTATGGGTTAAAAATAAAATAAAATGCTCTGTCAATATCTGAAGGGAGCGTACGGGAGAGCTGGTGAGGGACTCTTTGTCAGGAACTGTAGTGACAGGGAGGAGTGTGCCCAGCAGGTCGAGGGAGGTCATTCTTCCCCTCCACTTTGCACTGGTGAGGCCCCAACTGGAATCCTGCGTCCAGTTCTGGGCTCCCCAGTTCAAGAGAGACAGGGAACTGCTGGAGAGAGTCCAGCGTAGGGCAACAAAGATAATTAAGGGATTGGAGCATCTCCCTTATGAGGAAAGGCTCAAAGAGCTGGGGCTATTTAGCCTGGAGAAGAGAAGGCTGAGGGGAGACCTTACCTATGTTTGAAAGTCTCTAAAGGGTGTTTTGAAGGATGATGGAGCCAGAATCTTTTCAGTGGTTTCCAGTGACAGGATGAGGGACAATGGGCACAAGCTGGAAGATAGGAAGCTCCAGTCAAATATGAGGAAAAACTTCTTTCTGGTGAGGGTGCCAGAGCCCTGGAACAGGCTGCCCAGGGAGGGTGTGGAGTCCCCTTCTCTAGCGACTTTCAAGCCCTGCCTGGATGCTGTCCTGAGTGATGTGCTCTGGGTAACCCTGCTTTGGCAGGGGAGTTGGACTAGATGATCTCTAGAGGTCCCTTCCAACTCTGACAATTCCATGACAGGACAAGGAATAAAGGTTTTAAATTGGAAGAGGGGAGATTTAGATTAGATACCAGAAAGAAATTCTTTCCTGTGAGGGTGGTGAGACACTGGAACAGGTTGCCCAGAGAAGCTGTGGCTGCGCCATCCGTGGAGGTGTTCAAGGCTGGATGGGGCTTTGAGCAACCTGCTCTGGTGGGAGGTGTCCCTGTCCATGGCAGGGGGGTTGGAACTCGATGATCATTAAGGTCCCTTTCAACTCTAACCATTCTATGATTAAAAAAAGCTATGACCAGGTGTAATGAAACCAGAGCAAAAGGGTGGATTTAGACTGGATGTGAATTCTTTGCTATGAGGGCAGTGAGATACTGGAACGGGTTGCCCAAAGAAGCTGTGGGTGCCCCATTCCTGGAAGTGCTCAAAGTCAGGTGGGACAAAGCTTTGAGCAACCTGATGTAGTGAAAGATGTCCCTGCCTGCAGCAGCGGAGCTGGACTAGATGATATTTGAAGGTCCCTTCAACCCAGCCTGTTCCATTAAATGACTGTGGACATGCTTTGAGTGCAGTGCCAGCTCTTTTAGATTTAGAGGCTGTTTTCTAAGTTTGAAGTAAAGTTAAATGTTGTTGAATGGAAGTAACTGCATCCTTTTGAGTTTATCCTTTGCTTTTTGCCTCATTTTGTTTTAAAATCTTTTTTGTGGAAGAAAACCCGAAGTTGTGGTTTGGCACAAAAAGCACACTGTACAGTCAGGGAATAGTAGCTCCTGTGTTAGGATGGAGGAAGCCTGCGTTTCACAGGTTTTCTTGTTTTCTAGTATTCATTGTTTGGTTCTTTGTTGCTAGGGTCTTGTGATCAGTGTAGAGCTATGACCACTGAGCAAAAAAACTGATACAAGGAACAAGGGGGAGAGAAATAAGGTTTAAACACCAGCCTCTAATCTGTGTGACTGCCATTCTGTAAATAGTTTGTATTTCTGAGCTGTCTGTGGAAGGCTGCGTTTGCCCAATTGACCTTGAAGTCCAATTTGCTGTTATAAGAATGGAAGTAGATACATTTTGTTTTCTTTCCTGTTCACCTTTTTGTACTGAGGCTAACAGCTTGTTAGCTTTGAGCCTGGTAGATTCTCAAATGTTTGATGCAAGTTGTTTGTTAATTGCTAAGAATTAGAAGTTTCAAGCTCTAAATGTTCCTGAGCTGTAGTGAGAACAGTGTACAAGTTCCTTCCATGGGATGAAGGCTAGATGCTGCAGCAGTTTGACCTTGTCTCATTTGAGTAGTTAGAGATGTGTCCTGGCAAGGTGCTGAGATACTTTCTCATCTTCAGCTGTACCCTGCTTGTTCCCCACAGATTGAGGAAGGGGATGCCAACATGAATGCCCCTGTCATAACTCCTTCATCGTCCACTGAAAGTGTGAACAAGGTACCTGTGGTGAAGGCCAAGGCCACTCATGTCATCATGAACTCTCTCATTACAAGTAAGAACTCTCACCTCTGATACAGTGGCTAACGGGGTGCGGGCACACTGAGTATGCTCTGGCTTGGTAATGCTTCAAGGTAACTACCAGAGTTCCTGGACAGCTTGTGGGTTCAGACCGACTCTGCTCTTGAGCTGTGTGAGGTTTACTTGGCTTCTAGAAGGAAGCAAGGAAGTAGGGAATAGGCCACACTTACTCCCTCTGTGTTTCCAGGTGCTGGAGGTGGGTGATGAGGGGGGAGTGCAGGGCATGTTACCTGCTGATAGGACACTGCAGTCCATGCCACCTCGTTGCTGGAGTGCAGAGAGCAGCTGCCGCTGCCACCCTGTTTGCTTATTAACTTGGTATTTCTGAATGACAAATAAAGCTCTAAAATTAACCAGAGTGGTGTGGAGAGCTGATGTATTGTGCTAATGGAGCACTTGCTGGTGTTTATGTTGCTTAAGAGCAGCAGCTGTCTTGCTAACAGTAACACTTACTTTAAAAAAACCCACAAACCTCATAGATCACAATGCTTTAACATCAAATTGGGTGAGTTTTGTTTGCAGAGAAGACAGGCCCATTTGCAACAAGAGGAATTATTGCTGTGTTAATCTGTCCCTGCTGCCTCTTCTTTTAGCAGCTGGGATCTGAGCTTCATCCAAGCAACACTTCCAAAGACTTTTAGGTTTTCAGACCAGCGTTTTGAAATAGCTTTACATTTGTACTTCAGTTTTGGATCAAAAATAGCCAACACATCAGAAAATAATGCCCAGGAATATGGACTTTCTTCTGGAAAAAGCAGTTCCTGTTCTAGTCCAATGACAAAATGCTAATCTAGTTAAAAACATGATGGCCTAAAAATGTTCTTCTGCAGTAACCAGTCAGGAGCCCCAACTGCACCTCCCAGGAAGAACATTCAGGCACAAGTTGGGAAATAACAAAGGTCCTCTAGTTTTCTCATACATACAGTGCACTATCCTTGCAAATAACAGTAACATTAGCATGGGAAGTTTTACCTGTTTTAGAGAAGACATTGAGCTTTTCCAGTTAATCTTTTTGTGCTCTTAATTCCTTTTGACTTTTTTCATAGTCTCACTAGGGAGCGAGCAACTTATAAGCACTTCCCCCTCCCTACATATTTTTCAGAACTGAAATTGATATCTGTGTATTAGATGCTGACTCTGTATTTGGCTGAAACAGCTGACTTCACCAAACCTAGAACCACTGGGAGTCTCTACCACCTGTTCTGCAAAGCTGTGATTGTCAGATTAGTTGGTGTGGGCAGTCTTTTAGAAGACTTCTTTTTTGTTGGCCAGAAAAGCTGCCTTGAATTTAGAGGGCCACTTAAAATGTTTGGCTCATTGGGGTCTCCTAGATTTATGAAGTTATAATTAGGAGTGCAGCTTCTGGGGTGAGATAGATTTAATTACAGGTGTTGCATTTGTAATACATCTGGTGGTTTGGGGGCAAATCACTGTTCATCTGTCTTAGCCCTATGACTCAGTTTTCAAGTCGAAATATCTTATCAGCAAGCTTCATCTTGCTGCCTCTGTCAATTCATCGCAATATCTAGGTATGAATGATGAGAAAAGGGCTTTGCATTTGGTTGCTTAAGTTGCCTTTGTTTTCTAGAACTTCTTGTGGTGGCATTTTTGTGTGACTGTGTGCTTTTGTCCATTCCAGAGCAGACTCAGGAGAGCATTCAACGCTTTGAGCAGCAGGCGGGGCTGAGAGAAGCTGGCTACACTCCCCACAAAGGCCTCACTACTGAGGAGACCAAGTACCACCGAGTGGCTGAGGCAGTTCATGTAAGGCTCCTTTAGCATTGACTTTCTCCATGTAGGTTGTGTACTGGCTTAACACTTATCTGGTGACATAACTTCTGGAGCATGTTGCGAAGATTCTCCTTAAACTGCTTCCTCTGAAGGCTTTTAGCTCATTGTATAAAAAAAAAGTTACCCTCTTGTATTTTGAAGGTAGCGTTTGTCTTTATAGTTTTGATACAAACTTTTTTCTGAAATCTGTCATATTCCACAGTCATGTCAGACTATCACAGTCTTTCCAACTGGGGACATCCCTCCCCAGAATATAGTCCCTTGCTGTATGTCCTGCAGGTGACTGTTTTAACTCTTTGTGCCAAGAGAGCTTGTAAACTGTGCACTCCTGATGTGGAAGTTCCCAGATGAAATTGAGCTTGCCTCTTGCTGGAAATAAAGACAAAGGTCTTGAATCAACATGCTTCTGATGAGCTCAGTTGCCCACAGTAATTTTGCCGCTAGAGTTTAATAGTGAACTCTGAGTGTACTCCCCACAAGGTCAAAGTTTCAATAACAGCGGTGAATTCCATTAGTGTAGCTTTGACAGGCAACAGGAAACATTCTGAGAAGGTGCCTGTGTAACTGGTGTTTGAATTATAACTGCCCTTCAAGTGACTTCTTCAAAGTTCAGTTTGTACTGTCTGACTTGTAATAACCTGGTTCACATACACCCAGTTCCTGTTTATTTCATGACCAGGCATATTCTTTAAACGCAGTTCATCTCCGTGTTCTAGAGCAGTGTTCCCATCCTGTGGGATGTGAATTACTTCTCAGAGTCTAGGTACAAGGTCTGGTCTTACGTTCATTAGAGAACTTGTGTGACTGAAAGCTCTGTTGCTCTGAAAAGTGCTGTGAGCAAACGGTTCCTGTGCATTTAGACTTGTTACCGGGTACCTGAACTGATGTGTAACCTGGCTCTGCTACGTCTGCAACCTCCTCTGAATGCTGGTGTTGAGGCAGTGTGTTACTGCTGGGCAATGACTCTGAATTGCAGAGTGAGCTGTAGGTGTTATTTTACTTCCTCTAGCCTGGAGGATGTGTCTTGAGTGAAATATGCTTCCAAAATGCTTATATCTGATCTGGAAAGAAGCTTAAGGGGTGTATGGAAATATTGTAATACTGGGTTTAGCTTTAGGTGAAGTGACACTTGAATCCTTTATCATCTGTGATACAAAGAATTGTCCAGTTTTGACAACAAAACTCACCATTTGTTCCTTATGTCTTGTGTTTAAGCTCTGTTGCCTCTGTGTTTCTCTTGCCTCTCCCAACAGAAGCTGAAAATGCAGAGTGGAGAGATGACAAAAGATGACAGACAGACTTCTTCTGCTCAGTCTACTCCAAGCAGCACTCCCCACTCCTCTCCCAAGCATAAAACCAGGTACTCTGTTCCTGGCAGACCACTGCCTCCTTTGGTTTCCTGCGGGCTGCTGAGGTGGGAGCTGCTACAAATACCCTTATCCAGTGAGGGACTGTCTGAGGGGTGAAATTTGGCACCTGCTTTGGATTTGTGTTCAGTAGATCCAAATATTGAAAGCTTGTGGAACTTGGGCATACATATATTAATCCTGGGTGGTAACAAACCTATTAAGATCATTTAAATTGCCCCTCATAAGTACGTGTAAAGTTCCTGGTACAGTGGCTGCCACTTGAAGTATTTATTCTCATGTTTTCTACATCTCTATTTTTTTTCCCTAGGGGTTGGTTTAGTCAGGGATCCTCTACTTCTCTCACGGGCCCAGACTTTGCCATGGAAACTGGTGGGGAAAGATGGAGCTTTTTTGGACCCAAAGCCATCCAGAAATCCACCAATGATCCAGGTATGTCCTCTAAAAATCTCCTGCCCTGCAAGAGCGTCGGGAGAACTGTCACACAACAAACTTGCTAGCTATTTCTGGAGCTTATCCTGCTTGCCGTGTTACTTTCTAGGACCATCTTGTGAATGTGTGGTATTCATATAATTTCCATGCCTAAATATAAAGCAGTTAGGTAAAACCTCTGCCAGGGATCTGAAAGGAGAAATAACTTGCACTGAGCTGCAGTGGAAGTGCCAGGTGTGAAGGTGATAGCTTTTTACTCTTTCTCTGCTGTCTGGAACTACAACTGGAAGTGCCAGCCACTGATGTGGAATAGGCTTTAGATGATGTGAAGCTGCTTGGGTGTCACACAGGCTTTCTGCAGTGTTGGGCATCAGTGACACAGCTCACTCCCCCCGGAAGCAGTGGAAAAAGGACCTGGCAAGTTTTCCTAGTTCTTACTTGCTGTGATTTTTGTTTCATCAGGAGGATTTACCATCCAATCCTATAAGGGTGCCCAGAAGCCATCCCCAATGGAGCTGATGCGTGCTCAGGCTACTAGGATGCCAGAGGATCCAGTCACCTTCAAACCACCCAAAATGGACATTCCAGTCACAGAAGGGAGGAAACAATCTCCACGTTCCCATAATATCAAACCTCGGGATCTGAATGTGCTCACTCCCACTGGGTTCTAGGAAGAATCTTCTGGTGTCTTTAGCGGGCTACAGGGTGTTGTAGGCTCTGCTTCCTGTCCCATTGTGCTGCAGTAAAATAGGAAAGTCTCCCTCTTCATCTCAGAAAAGGAAACAGTTGTGACTGTCCTCCTCTTCATCTCAGAAAAGGAAACAGTCGTGACTGTCCTCCTAAAGCCAGTCTTGGAAAATCTCCTGCACTAGTACTAAACCAATGTAAACCATCCTGTCTGCTGTATGGCACCAGCTCGGTCTGCTAAGCTGCACTAGATGTGCTTCCCAGCACACTGCACACAGTGAAACAGTGAGCTGTGTGTTGTGGGACAGGAGTGCGTGTGGTGTACAGGCAGGGGGGCCTCTCTCCCTCTGGTCTGATTGTCTCGTCCTGCTGAGCACCGAAGTATCCTCAGGAGGACTGTGGTTCTGTATATGCCATACAGAACACCAGCAGTAAATGATGAAAACAAGCAAGGACTGAAAACCGGAGCATTAACTGCTGGAAGGAAGCTGCTCTGGGAATGTGGTGGGTCCATTTTAAATGTGGCACCCCCTTAGTATCCGGTGTGACCGGTTCAACACCTAGTACGTCTGTCTTTGAATTCTTTTTAAAGGAAAAATGGAGAAGTCATCATTCTAAGAATCCCTTAATTGAAAGGCAGGGAGCAGAGTCTAATGGGGCTTGGCAGTAACAAGGAAGAATTGCTTCTCTTCCAACTCTTCACGTTCCTCCAAAAAGGTGGAAATGCCCAGAGCTGGTGTGGCTTGAACCAAGTAATCCTCCTCTCTCCTTTCTGCAAAACAACACTGTCCCGCTGCTTTCTCCTAGACAACAGACTTACTGATGTTCTGGCACTCTGGGTGCTGCTTGATCATTACTTTTTTTTCTAACATCTTACATGAATCATGTAGAAGTGTATTGGACACCAGGGACACTTCTCAAATAGGGTTTTTTGTTTCATCATCACTAAATGCATTTTGTAGGGCTGGGGCAGGGCCGAGGGCAGATCAAGGCTAAACATCCCTCCCTGCTCTGATACTGCTGTATGTAACTGTTGGCCAAGTCAGAACCAGGTACTGGGAGCAGTTACCACTTGCTTTCCCGAAAAGTGGAAGGAACTTCCACATCTAATCCCTTAGGTGTTATAGGTGGTGTTGCTCCGTATTCTTCACCTGTCCTGTGGCAAACAGGTCTCCTTTCCTCTCTCTTGATCTGATGACTGCGTGGCAGAGCTCCCTCCACCAGCAGCAGTTTCTTTCTCTAGTGGTGAGGTGGCAGCAGCAGCCTTGCATCTGGTACTGGAAGCTTCAACCAGGACAGAGGTTGTTTAAAAACTGGTAACCGCTGAGCTCTGGGGTTTCTGCTGCCTTAAACCAAACATTCCTCCCGGAGGGTGAGGCAGGGTTGGCTCTCTTGGCCGGCTGCTGTCCCCTCTGAAGCAGCACGTTTTGTGGCTCTGCTTCCTCCCAAGCTTCAGCAGCACTGCCAACGATGTGTTGTGTTGAAAGTCTCCCACCCAACCCAGCAGTTCTCACTGTCACCGCTCATTTGCACCTTGGCAATCAGTCTGTCATTTGACATTAATTTATTTGTTGTCTGTATTCATGTCTCTAATGTGTATGATTTATTTTTTTGTTTGTTTGTTACAAGAAAATAAAATCCTCGTGAATGGAGGTCCTTGGTGTGTGTTAGCCCTGGCAAAGCAGCTGTGGAAGAAATATGGGGCTGTCCAGTGTGTGGGAGGGTCAAGGTTCTGCCTCGTAAGGCTCTGGCAGCACTTGCACTAGGGGGAGATGCTTCCTCTGTAAAACTCCCTTTTGACAGGGAGACTGGGTTGGGCAGATGAAACTAAACATGAAGTCTGTGTGTTGTCTTGAGCTATTTACATGGTGATTCTTTATATTCCTGAGGTTGCCTCTCTTGTAGCTTGTGTGCTGTGTTTGCACCCATAGTGTGAAGATGGGCACTAGGGTGGGAGCCAGGCCTAGAGGTGCCCAGCTCCCATGGTGTGGCCATCTCTGCCTTGCCTTCCTCTGAAAAGTTCTGTTCAGAGTGCTGCTGTCACATTTGTAGCTTCCAAAGTACTGCTGATAGAGCACATGATTCTCCTGGGATGGGGATGTCTGAGGTGAACACTGGTGTGTCCTCTGCTCCTAGAGTGTTAGCAGAACTAAAAGTGATGATCCTGCAGCACCCAGGTACTGTGGTACAGGCTGCTGCTGCGGGTCTTGGTTACACAGGCAAATCTCAGAGTTTGGTTTGGAAAGGCTGGGTTGAAGTGTGGCCTCTTGGTGTGATAGTTTCATTCTACTTTCTGTATTTTACTCCAACATCGTTCTTGGGGATGTGACCAAGATATCAGAAAATAACATCCAGAACTCTGGACCTCTTGCTGGGATGCAGCTTCTAGTCTAATAATAGCAATCTAATCCAATTAAGAGGACCTGGCTGGAAAATGCACCTGAGTGAGCAAGGAAAAGCTTTCTAGAGCAGTGAGCACTGGGAGTTTGCACTGTTGGGAATGCTTTTGGCTATTACTCCCAAAACAGACTTCTTCACTTTTCCCTGGATGGCTTATTCCTGGAGGGGCAATGTCATGCAGATGAGCGGTTTGTTCTACATCTGGCAGCTGGGAAGGGGCTTCCTGAAGAACAAGGAGCAAACCTGTGAGTCTCGGGTCAGACCCTTCCAAACAGTTCTGGGCTGGAGGAGGCCTCCCTGGACAGCAAGCATCAGGGCTGCAGTGTGTGCAGGGCTACTCCATTCCTGGCTGTGACTCTGCTGCTCGATGCTCCTCAGCTCCAGTCTCCTCAATAGGACCCTGCCAAGAGTTTCCTACCACAGGGGCAGATAAAGGGGGGATGGGCAGCTCTGGGAGTCTTCCTCCCACTCCCAGCTGCTGTTGCCTGCAGAGACCTTCTATAGAAATGCCTAATTGCGCTCTGATTTCAGCTGTGATTGGAGTTGATGGCAGTGTATTTGGATTGAATATTCATCATACCCCGCACGCTTGCCTGCACTGCAGACACTTCAGTGCACTCTGGAAGAGGCGCAGCCGTTTCAGCTGATGCTGCAATCCAGTCTTCCCTCTTGACATGCTGCTCACCTTGGGCAAGGTCACGTAGATGTATTTGATTTCAAACAGGAATGTTCTTCTCCTGAGGGTCCATCAGCATCGCTTGGGGATCTCTGCACTGTGAATATCTTACTGCAGCCCACACCTGCTTTTTTGTCTTAAATATTAACACCTTTCCCTAAATATTGATCAGGTATTTTGGCATTTTTCTTGCTATGCAAACTATTGTCAGTTTATGGCTGCATTTGCTATCCCAAGGTGCAGCTGACAGCTCTGCTCTTCCTTTGGGCAGGGCTGCCACCGAAATGGAAGAGTCTCATCAAATAAAAAAATAATTTATTTCTTTTAAAGTGTACAAAGTTCCTTGTAAAACTGGGATGAGGCAGGTATGAAAGGAAATTCTGAGACTCTGTAAACCAGACATTTTTCCAAAGAAATGCATAAACGAACCTATGAGATGTATGACACTTATGACTGCAGCATGAGATGGGGGTTTTGATGGGGTTTTACAGAGGAAATGTGAAGCTCTTTGTGCCCCCTGCCACAGGGGTTGTCTCCATCAGGTAGCAGTGACAATGAGGAACAACTCCCGAAGCATGCACAGTTTCTCCATGATCTGCTGGGGAAAAGGCTGCCCCAGGACCTGCTGCATTCGCCTGATGAAGTCCTCTATATTCAGTTGAACGTCCAGATGGCTGATCTCATCGCTGTCCTGGAGCTTGGGCTTGGCTTTCTGAATGATCAAGTCCATGCGGTCACTAAGTGAGCTCCGCAAGTGCTCTGCAAAAGGAAATGCTGGTGGGGAGAGGCAACACAAAATGGGCTGGTGACCTGTTCAGGGACAGGTTGCAGCGTGCCACTGGCAGCATTGTGGTGAGGAGTGGTTGGGAAGTGTGCTGGTCCTCTCATGGTTGTCCTTGCTGCTGCTGCACAAGACTAGCCTGGTGGAAGAAGGTACTGTCCCTGCCTCGGAGCTCAGTCTGCTCTTGAGGAGAGCCCAAGAAAGGGGGAGGGGAGAGGGGTTGGAGCATCCTTTTTTGCTGTGCTCGTGGCAGACTGGACAGCTTTCCAGCTGCACAGGAAGGTCTCCAAAGAGCTTAACAACAGTGATTGTCTAGGGCCTCAGGGAGAGTAAAACTCTGTGCACGTGATAGGTTCCTCTGCGTTCCTCCAGGAGAGCCTTAACCGTGGGCTAAAGCAGGTGAAGTTGAGAAGGAACTTTTAGGATTTTCTGGTAAAACAACTTTAGGGATCATTAGGGAGTGTTTTGTGACTGTGTTGCTCTCCTGGGGTCAGAAATACTGCTCCTTCCATGGCTACTGTGGGTGGTGCTTTCTGCCCAGTCTGCTGAGTGTGTCCTGGCTTTACCATCCCTTTGACTTCTGCTTTTCCTCCTAAACCACCCTATTCCTCCACCCCCTGTGTGTGCAATTTAGACAACAGTGGGTACAAAGCACCCCCTTGGGTACTTCTCAGTGCTGGGATTGATCCTTTAGGAACTAGGCTATTTCTGAGGGGCTACACTTTGCACAACAAGTTGGGTGCTCTGCTTGATGCAACATCACTTCTTTGCTCTCACTGCTGGGAATAGTTACAAGCATCATCTAAGGCACATCATCTTTCTAAGACTCAGTGGCCATGAGTTCAAGAGTGATGAGAAGAGAGGAGGAAGGGTACTTTGGCTGTTCTATGGCAGCCTCTTGTTGGGATTGTGTTTATCAAGGCCAGAACAGGCTGCTTACCCAGTATTACATTTTGGTAACTCATCAGCAGCAAACTCAAGTAATGCAGCATCTCATCCCATCTTTGCCATGTTGCTGTTTCATCCTGTGACAGGAGACAGTGTTTGGTTATTAGAAAATGTTTACTTGGGAGAAGATAAGGCAAAGGAGAGAGGTTGGACTGGATACCTGGTATTGCAGCAGCACAGAGGAATGGCTCAGGAAGTACAGGATCTTGGCCAGAGACAAGGGCAAAGTTGTGGGCACGTCACAACTATGCAGGAACAGCAGCTCAAGCAGTTTACAGCGCAGGAGGTGACTTTCCATGGTGTTTAAGAAAGCTTCCCTGGAAGACAAAGGGATTTGTCACAGCCTGACCAGGGACAACTGCTCTAGCGTGTTCCCGGTGTCCTGCTGGTTCTGATCTGGTGCCAGGGGCTGCTCAGCAGTACAGCGGAAGGAACGCCACCAGATGTGATAGGGAGACATTTGTTACGCAGCTTGGCCACGGGCATGTTTACGTCGTTAGGTCTGACCTGTGGCAACTCGAGGTCGGTACGGTCTGTGAAGCAAGTTTAGCTGCTTCACTTCACCCTGCCCAGCAGCCTGTGCAAAGTCACCCATTCCTGCTGACTTGCAGGGAGCACAGCCAAGCAAGTGTGACGTGGGGTCAGCAACCAGCTGGATCTAGGAGAGCTGTCCTGGGAGGAGTGATAACTTGTTTACAGTCAGTTTGGCTTGGCTGGACCCAGTGTGTGCTCAGGGTTCTGCTGAAAGGGTCCGAAAGGGCTGCCTGCTGGGGCTGGCAAACGTGGGTTTGAAACATCTGTGGGTCTCATGGTCTCACGTCTAGGCTAGAGCCAGTCAGGCCCTTGTGCTTTGGCTTCAGATACTGCGTTTCTTAGAGAAGCAAACAAAAGCATTTCAAGGCAAAGCTCCAAGAACTGCATCCTATTTCTGGTGAGCTTCTCAGTTGTCTCTGGAAATCAGTGATGAGTTTGCCAGTACATGACCATGCTGATACAGAGTGCTGCTTTTCAGACCCTCTGTACGGTTTGAAGTCCTGCAACTTTAACAAGTAGGAGAAACAGCTTTTCTCAGCAACACATAAACTGGGGAGACGCGTTCAGCTGGTGATGTTCTGTCTCCATGGGATCTGTCAGTCCATCAACCATGCATTTGCTGGCTGGGTCATAAATGGGCCTTGTCTTTCTATACCCTATGGGTATTTTATGCATCCAGACTTGAATGTAAATCGGGAATAAGACTATTGCTCACACAGGCAGATGCTGCCTTGCACACGTTTGTCTCACCTTTGGCTCCTCAGGGGAATATTCAGTATAAATGGGAATATCACATCTGCGATCTTACAGGAGCTGCAGTTGGGAGATTTGTCCACTTCCACTGCGATGGACAACATCCGCTGGAGCAGGAGCATCACCCTAGGTTAGGGAGACAGTCAACACTAAGAGACATGACCCTTGGCTTGCAAAGTAAAGCAGTGGGGATGGCACCTAGTGCAGCCTCATGCCTTGCAGTGAGGGACATAGGGGAATGTAGCAGGCTAGGTTTGGTGTCTCCTGGTAGCTTTTGAATCTGATGCTCTTGGAAGCAGATGGGCCCTCATGTGGCTGTACTGAGCATTGGTGGAGCAGCACAGGGCAACCTGGGTGGTGGGCCAAGATCTCCAGCCTTAAGAGGAGGATGCTCACTGAGCCAGTTTTCTACCAGGTGAGGAAGTCTCTCGCTCACCAAGTCTACTGCTGCAGGTAAGAGGAGGATGCTCACTAAGCCAGTTTTCTACCGGGTGAGGAAGTCTCTCGCTCACCAAGTCTACATCTACCCCGAAGGAGAACTTCAGGTACAGCCTGGCTACTCTGACCTGAACTGGCTTCTCCCTGACTTGGGCCTCATGATACTGCCAGCAGGGGGGCAGGACTTCAGGGCTTACCTCTGGGCAAAGAAAGTTGGTGGAGCCACCTCTGCCTGGTCAGTGCTGGCCGGCTGTGGTGCAGATGAGCTTTCGGTCCTTGTGTCTGCTGAAGAGGATGTCATTTCTTGCAGCTGCTCCTCGGGCTGAGAGAACCCGACCCCTGTCACTGCTGCAATCAACCATTCGATCACCTCCCTGTGACAGAAACAGGAACATTAGTGGGGACAGGCCTGGTTTGCTGCATTCTGACCTAGAGATCCACTTGGAGCTCAAGGAATGACCCTGAGGGTGGGACACATTCTTCATCTGCTTGGACAGGGATCAGCTCTGTTGAGCAGCAGATTTATGCAGTTGTCAACAGGACTGTCTCCTTCTCAGTCGTGTCCTGAGCAACGCAAATCTGGCTCTGTCCCTGGGAAAAGCCCACTAGACTGCAGCCAGAAATGTCTTGCATCATCTCTGGTGGTTTGCTTTTGTAAACCTGCTCCTGTTCTTTATACTTGGCCCCTACACCTCCCTCTCCCAAGCTTGTTTCCTGGAAAGTTTGACCTGGAGTCTCAACAGGTGTTCCCCGAGCCCCTGCCTTTCAGCATCTGGTTAGAGAATAGGGGAGGAGAAGGAGGAGGCATCCTTACTTGACATTGTTGAAGCACATGTCACATGAAAGCACTTTCTTGGCAATTGACTTCTGCAGCAGACGCAACCTCAGGTTTTCCTGGAAGTCATCCTCCAGGGTCTGCACCACGTACTGCAGGAAGAGGAGCCAGCCAGGGGGCTTCTGCTGAGGGCAGATGGAGAGGGTATGAGCCTGGCAAAGCCAGAGGGCAAGGAGCATCTGGGAATTTGGTTGTTTCAGGAATAGGCTAATGTACATGACTGAAAAGTAGCTCCAGCAGGGGCTGCCTGGCTCAGGTAATGCCATGGAGGGTTGGCTGGACCTGTTCTACCATTGCACTAGGACAATGAGTCTATTGCTGTGTCTTCTTCAGGTGAGATGATGTACCTATAGCTGTGCAGCAGCTTAGGGAGCACCCTGGATAAAAGCGGGAGACCCAACTGGCATTTGCTGCCCTCAGCAGCTGCAATAAAACTGCATGTTGGACTGGCCCATTCTGCAGCAGGGCACGGCCGTGAGGCCCTGGGGCAACGCTTACCCTTGGGCACTGCACCCTGGGTGATCCCTGCCTGATGTGACACAGGCGATGCCAAGTACCTGGTCCTCCATGATGTACTTCAGCAGCGTCCAGTCCCATCCCACTGTGGCGGCGTTGGCTGGATGGAGCCTGCAAGGACAGCACTGTCCGTTTGTGCTGAACTGCCCACCATCTGGAAGCATGGCAGCCCCTGGCCCTTCCCCAGACCCCCAGCTCAGGGGCCTGCCCTGCCTCCTCCTCCCCAGCTTTGCCCTCTCCCTTTCTCCTCCCCTGATTACCATCATTTTTGGGGGCTGTACTGCAGGGAGAGCATCAGCACTCCTGGACCTGAGGCCTCACAAAACATTGTGCCTCTCTGCAGAAACCCTGAAGGCAGCAGGGGAACTGCTCCAGCCCCCTCCAGCCCATGGCCTCTGCTGCAGCCCAGGGAAGGCGTTTTTGCCATGTCACAGCAATGAAGAATGAGATCTGTTCTTCAGGAGCAAGACAAACACACTCCTCTGTCCTATAGGACACCCTGGTGTCACAGGCTGTCCCTGCACTGTGTGGGCTTGCTACTAAACGATTAAAGCACGCTCGTGATACAACTGGAGCTGCTTTCCCTCCTGTCTTAGCATCCGCTGCCTCTCACACCCCCCATCCTCCATCCACTCTGGGCTTTAGTGGCTGCTGTCTGGGCCAGCAATGGTCCTGATGCACCCTTAGACAGCCTGGGGTGTGTCTGTGCTGGTAACAGGAGAATCATCCTGGAAATTGCTCCCCATTCCATGGGAGAGGACCATGGAGAATAACCTTTATGCTGGGCAGGCCCCTACGAGCACCTAGCCAGCCCCAGGACACCGTGGCAAAAGGAACACGTACATTTGGATCTTCATCAGCAGCATGTAGGTGTCCTTCAGGATTTCCCTTTGGTGGACGTTCAATAGGATCTGTCTGATCAGGTGGGAGATTATTTCCTTGGGGGGACGGTGCTTGCAGGAGACGAACTCGCTCAGGAAATGCAAGGTGCCCTCCAGGAAGTTCTCCTCCATGGTGGTACGCACCATGCTCAGCTTCCCACTGGGGATGAGGTCAGGTTTCCGCTGTGTGCAAGGCAAAGCAATGGGTGAAAGCCGTCCTTCCAAACACAGAGAAACCTAGCTGTGATGTGGGGCCTACCATGAAGGGAACTACAATAACCAGAGATCCCAACTGCCTAGCAAAGCTCCCCCTGAAATGGGAAGCAGAGCAGGAACAGCCCCTGCTCCATCCTCTCCTGCAGAGGCTGCTCTGAGCAGCCTCTGGCCAGGCTTAGCAGCAGGTGCTCTGAACCCTCTTTACCTGCTGTGTTTCCCTGTTGGGTGCTACATCTTGGATGAAGAGGTGCTGGACTCCGCTCCTCCTGAAATAGTGCAGTTTGTTCAGCCAGGCCTTGCTGTCAGCCTTGGTCCTGACTGGGGTCACCTGCTGGATTGCTCCGTGTGGTTGTAAGTCACCTGCTCCCATCAAAGGCCCTTGGGCCTTCACTGGGGTTGGGGGAATGACTGGGGCAGGGCTTAGCCTCGGGGGCAGCTCCTTTTGCTGGCCGAGGTGGGGAGTCTCTTCCTCTGGGCTACTGGGTCTCCAGCTGCTGCTGCTGTCCCGGCTGGAGGGGGACAGGGACAGCATGTCCGAGTCCAGCTGCATGCTGGCCAGGGAGCCCAAGTCACTGTTAAAAGTGGTAGTGCTGCAGTTCTGCTCCGGGCTGCAGGAGGAACTGCGGCGGCTGGAGGTGGGAGAGAAGCAGCTCCGGTTCTCTTTGCTTTCTGCCCCGTCCGTGGTGGCACCGGGCTCCGCGGGAGCATCCTGTGAGGGTGCTGCAGGGCTTGGCTTCAACGTTGCCTCTGTTTGTGGTGTTGTGGTGGAGCAGAGCCGGGGATGGGATGTGTCAGCTGCTGGGGCAGCAGGCACCTGCCTGGGGTCCTGGTCAGCCCAGGCAGTGGTGTGGGGAGGGCTGCACGTGTCCTCTGTCAGGTCGATGATGGTGAGGCTGCTGCACGACGCCACGTCTGTGCTCGTGTCCTCGCAGGTCAGATCGATAATCTCCTGTGGGGACAGAAGGGCCAACGCTGTCAGCGATGGTGGCACCTGGGTGCCTTGGTCCTCCCCTGCCAGGGACCTCTGCTATGGTGGCACTGTTGCCTCAGCCCAAGGGGGAAAAGGGGCTCGTTGGCAGCAGCCGAAGGGACAGGGCAGCCTGCAGGCAGCAGCCCGAGCTCGTGTTGGCCTGCCCTGGAAGCACAGCCGAGCCTGACCCAAGCTCTTCTTCCCCACTCCTTGCAGAGACAACCCCCCACCCTGCTCCCCCTGGGCTCCTACAGGAAATGGCTGGGTCCTCTGCTCCAAACACCTTTCTCCTTGGGCCAGAGCAGGACTGGCTGCCCTCTCAGCTCCCTCCCAGGATGGGGAAATGCCAGGGGAGGGGGCAAGGGGACCGGAGCGAGCGTTGCTGTCCCCCGTCCCCAGGGGCTCCTGGCAGGAGCAGCACACAGGATCGGAACCTCGGCACACCCCCCCTCCCCTGTGGCACAGCCTCACCCGCTACAGGGACACGAGCGGCAGGGAACAGAGCTACCTTCACATCCATGGCACCAGGCCAGAGCTACGGCAGCCCCGAGACTTTGGGGACTCCCATGCAGACCTTGCTGGGTGATGGTGCACCCGGAGCTCCAAGGACGCGCCTGTCCGAGGGGCGGCAGGAGCGGGCAGGGGGAGGCAGCTGTGCCCGCACCTCCGGCGGGCAGGACACGGCACTTCTCAGGATCTCGATGTGCCCGGGAGGGGTCAGAGCCTGTTTGCTCTTGGAAAAAAAAAACCCTCAGCGTCTCAAAGCAGGAACACGTTTAGCGGACGATTTAAATCCATAATTTTTTTTGTGTGTTGGTTTTCCCCCTGGCTCAGACCTGCTGCCTTTCCCAAGGATGGGCTGCGTGTAGCCTGGGGAAGGTGACAACACCCAGCAGGCCTGGCGTGCTACGGGACACTGGTGGAGCCGAGGAGGGCTGGAGGTTGTCCCTGCTCCAGCTGTCCCCGCTGTCCCAGACGCCATGGAACTGCCGGTGTTTGAGAGCTGCATCACAACCGGGGACAACAGCACCCGGTGCGGGGGGTGAACACATCGTTACCACCCACCCAGGGCTGTGTCTTGACGGTGGCATTGTGCCCTGAACTGCCACTGCACCGGCCCATCGTCACCCTGTCCGTGGGGTGGCCCAGGTGAGGGGGACGGTGGCCACCCCACCACAGCCCAGGGCTGGATGCCCACCAGGAGGCTGAGTCCTGGCAGGCTGGGACCCTCCTCGGCACAAGGCACTCCATGGCGGGGGGCCGGGTCTTCCCCGGGGGACGTGACCCCCGGGAGGGACAGGCTTGGAGACCAGGCCTCCGCTGCCGGGAGTTGGCCATGGGGACCCGAGCCCTCCTTGGGGCCTTGAGGGAGGTGACGGAGGGGGACCGGGCTCTCCGGGAGCAGGCGGCCGCAGCTCCGGGAGACGCTCCGCGCCCTTTCCACGGCCCTCGAGCCTTCATGTCCCCCCGCGGCTCCCGTCCCCGCGCCCGGCAGAAGCGCCGCCATCTTTGTGAAGGGCAGGCGGCGCCGCGCCCCGGCGGGAGGCCCCGCGGCCCGGCCCGGCCCCGCCCTCCCCCCC